TGAAATACATGACTTCAAAGCAATGGATTTGGAAATTTTTATCCTACCATATAAAAAAAAAGACTACATTATTTCACCTGAGTAATAATGAGAGCTAACATCTGTGAAGCATTTATCACATGCGCAGCACTGCAATAAGCACTTTACATGAGTGATTTATTCAACCCTAATGTATTAAGCACTTCGATCTCATCTCCACTTTTCAGAAGGGTAAGCTGAGGTGCAGAGTGAGTATATAACTTGCTCAAGTTGCTCACACAACTAGTAAGTGGCAGAGCTGGGGTCCAAATCTGCCTTTTTCTGAAACCATGCTCTTAACTAGCAAGTGAAGAGACTTGTCTCAGATGAAACACTCCTACTCAGGAGCCCAGCCTATAACATCAATTTAGAGAAACATACAATAAACCTTAGGAACTGGTGTTTAGATTTTCCTATTGGAAGCTTCACTAACCATGCCCCCACAGCAGATTATTTGTCAATACACTTTATCTGTTTTGCTGTCTCTCCATATACGATGAGGAGCCTGAGGATGAGGACTGTCTCATCTTCATATCACAGTGGCCCCAGCACAAAGCAGATGATCAGTAAATGACTATGCATGAAGCAGTATAAAAAAATTTTAAGGCATATGTTGGGATCCTTATTTTGTTTTAAGCTTAATATGTACGTACAATATCACCAATACATTCTACCAGAACTGGCCTTCGGAGTGATTAGTGAGATCCTACATGTTCCAACATTCTTTAAGGTTGACATCTTTGACAGAGAACCTTACTAAAATTAAGGAAGAGAAACGATTTCAGAAAGTCTTTCAGCAATGAGGATGAGAGGAAAGAGGACTTTTTAGCTAACCATTTAACTGGAAAACACATTTAAACCTTCATTTTCCTAACACTGAGGTTTTCATTATTGCCTATATGGATGCAAGTTGAACTTCTCTGTACAGAATTAAAAGTTTTATATTTATCCACGTGGTAACATGTATCAGGACTTCATTCCTTTTTATGTCTGAACAACACTCCACTGTATGGATATACCACTTTTGTTTAACCTTTCATCAGTTGATGGCTATCTAGGTGTTTCCAAATTCTGTCTATTGTGAATAACTGTTGCTATACATATCCATGCACACATTTTTATTTTAAATACCATTTTCAATTCTCTTGCATATATACCTAGGACTGGAATTCCTAGGGTTATATGATAAATCTATGTGTAACTTTTTGGGGAATTACCAAACTGTTTTTCAAAGCAGTTTCGTTCCATTTCTACATCCCTGCCAGCAATGCATGGGATTCCAATTTCTCCACATCCTCACCAAGACTTTTTATTTTCCATTTTTGTTTGTTTTTAAAATTATAGCTGTCAAGTGGATGTGAATATGGATGTGGTTTTGATTTACATTTCCCTAAGGACTAATGATGGTGAACATCTTTTTTTTCTTCTTTTAAATTTTTATTTTGTCAATATACAATGTAGTTGATTATTATGTCCCATCACCAAAAC